GTCAAATGGTGTGAGGGCTCCAGCTGAAACTGGGGCAAACTCTCCTGGCACACATGGAGCCAAGTGACCTCTGTGTGTGTACAGGAACAGCCTGAGGGGACTGGAAAAGCAGCTCAGGGACAAACAGGAGACAATGGAGCACCAGCATCAGCTGTAAGAGGTGTTCAGGTATGTGAGATATTCTCATGGATACAAACTTCATGTGCATTAGTCTGTAACATGACAATGATGGCAATGATGGCTGAGGATCTTACAGAGAAACCTAGAAGTTTACAGGCACTCACAGAATCCCAGACTGGTTTGGGTTTGAAGGACCTTAAAGCTCATCCAGTCCCACCCCCTGCCATGGGCAGGGACAACTTCCACTAGCCCAGGCTGCTCCAAGCCCCATCCAACCTGGCCTGGAACACTCCCAGGGATGGAGCAGCCACAGCTGCTCTGGGCAACCTGTGCCAGTGCCTCAGCACCCTTCAGAGGGAACAATTCCTTCCCAATATCCCATCTAACCTGCCCTCTGGCAGTGGGAAGCCATTCCCTGTGTCCTGTCCCTCCATGCCATGTCTCAAGTCCCTCTGCAGCTCTCTTGTAGGCTTCCCTCAGGTCACACTACACATGAACACTTTCAAACTAGAGCCTGAAAGCCTTGTGTGTCCTCTCCAGCACCTCCTGTTTCCTATCATGTTCATCCTCAACAATAAAATCACCTCACTAGACAAGGGCTATAAATAGCAGCAGTTCTTCTCTCCTGTGTCAAGACTGTGTTGCTGTGTCAAAATCAAACCTACAGAGCAACACTGAGGTCTTACAGTCTCTGCTTGGGCTAAACCACACCCAAAGTAGGAGACAGGACCATGGAATTGTTTAGGTTGGAAAAGCCCTCTGATATCATTGAGTCCAACCATCCCCCAGCACTGCCAAGGCCACCACTAACCACGTCCCCAAGTGCCACATCCACGTGGCTGTTAAATCCCTCCAGGGATGGCGACTCCACCACTGCCCTGGGCAGCTGTGCCAGGGATGGACAACCTTTCAGGGAAGAAATAAGATCCACAGCACAGGCTGATAGTGAATAATTTCACTTACTTTCTTGAAGTCTTGGTCAACAACTCCCTGCAGATGAGGTTTAACATGCTCAGCTCTTGTTAGCACCACCCAAAAAAACCCCCTGAATGGGTAGAGGGAGACAAAAGCCAGATTAAGACTGTCTCTGGTCTTTTCTCTCATGGGAAGTATCTGCTACAAGTTCCCATCAGAGAGAGATTTGCTTTAAACACCTTCCAGGTGTAGATATTTCTTTCCCAAGCAGCATTGCTTGAACGGATTTGTCCTAAGTCTCAACTAAAACCTGGATATCTTGGATAGAATGAAGAGGGAAAATAAATACCTAAGAGAACTCCGGGAAGGCTGGAAAAGGAGCTGCACAACCAGACTGATGGTTATGGAAAGGGAATTGCCAAGATAACTAGCTACTGCATCAACTGGTGCTTACAACCTCTTGATTAACTTCATCATTGAGACACTTCTTGCTTAAGGATGCTGAGAATCCCCCCTGGATTTGGAGCCAGAGCACATAGAATCTCCTGCATTGGTGGCAGGGAAAGTCAGATTAAAGGGGTTATGAAAGCAAACAGCCTGATGCTGTGCAGGTGTAACTCAAAGCACTGCAGAAGTCTCAGCAATTGAACAGCACAGAGGAAAACTTAACTTCCATCAAGCAAAATCTGAGCCTTTGGTCTGACAGACAAAAATACAAACACTCAGAGCCACAGACATGTTCATTTTTAGTGCAAATGTTTCACTTTGTGAGAGATTTGCTCAATACATTCCTGAAGCCAATTTTTGAAGCCTACACATTCTAGATGCTATAATTTCCTTAGATACTTAAGAACTGGGATGTACTCACAGGAACAGAGATGTTGGTCCTGACAGACCTTATGCTCCTCTGAAAAGCTTCTTGCATTAAAAACTTGTAGCCACAGGTAATTGCTAACAGGGCACATTTATTGGGTTAAAAAAATAAACATGCATCAGCCATCCTCTTTAAAACCAGCACATAAAATATTTGGGTGGGGGGAGGTGGGTAAAGAAAAGCAACAGCC